CAACTGGTGGATCTGCTATGAATTAAAACGCGGCTGAGGACAAATCGTCGCCCTCCGAAGTCTCAGGGGGACACGTCAGCTTGGGCTCGGGCAAGCTCAGCCTGGCAATCTCAGCCGGGCAATCTCGCGGCGGCCGAGGCTGCGGACGGGCTCTAGGGCCCAGGGCGGGCGCCGGGCGGGGCGGGGCGGGGCGGGGCGGGGTGTAGGGTTTCAGGGGCGAGCCGGGGCGCCCCTCGGGCCGGCGGCGGGAGCGCGCGGGCCGCTCTAGGACCCAGCTGCGGCCGTCGGGTTTGGGCTGAAGGTGAAGCCCTGGCGTTTCTCTCCTTCCTGTGTGAATGGAGCCGACGGTCGGGCGCCGCTTCCCCGAGCTGCCCCTCGCCATGCCCAGCGCTCTGCCCGGCAGCCGCCTTTCCCCCGCCGCGGGACTGAACTAGCCATGGTCGCCTCATGTGGAGGGCAAAGTTGCGCCGGGGAGCTTGTGAGCCTGCGGTGAAAGGTAGCCAGCCCCGCTGGGGGTGTGGAAAGGGCGCCCCCTCGCCCGCCCTCGCTGCCCCGGGCCGGGGGCTCCTCCTGGGGCTGGGGCTGAGTCGCCTCCCGGGGCGCCTGGGGCAGCCGGCGGGGCTCTGGGTCCCTCCCGCGAGGGTCCGCCACGGGGCCCAGCTAGCTGAGAGACCTGGAGGGAGAGACGAGAACCGGGGTCCCGTGCCTGCTCCAGCTCCCCGGTACCACCGGCCAGATCTCAGCCCGGCGCCGCCCCGCGCCTCGCCGGACCCTGGGAGCTGGAGCCGATCCGCAGGGCTCGGCGCGCGGAGGTGCGGTGGCGCCCCCGACGCAGGGCTGGCCCTTCCGGAGGGGCGCTGCCGCCGGGCCTGCCGCCGCAAGACGCGCCCGCGCGGGTCTCCGGCCGCCGAGGGAGGGGGCGGAAGGGGCGTCCCGGAGCCGCTTCCCTCCGCGAGACAAAGCCGCACGCCGCCGCCCGAGGGCCCCGGCGGTCCCGCCCGAGCCTCCCGCCCATCCGCTCTCGGGACTCGGCTCGGAGGGTGGGGTGGCGAAGGGGTCGCGCCCGGATCCCGAGGCTGGAGCGCGTTAGCCACTCCGGCCCTCCTTTGTTCTCCCGCGGCGAGTTTGTTGACCGACACGGAGTTAGAGCTAGCTTTCCTGACACTGTTAGTGAAGCTTTAAAAGAATGCGGGGTTTTTTGGGGGGTGGAGGGTGTTAAACTTTCCTAGTCGAACTTGTTGCTGATTTTTCTTGGAATGTGACATTTGTGGCAGGAGGAGCCTGGCACGTCCGCCCCGTTACAGCGGAACCGAGCCGGGGCCCGCGCTGGGGCGGGGGCTGAACATGCCCCACCGGCGGCGGGGCTGGCGGCCGGCACTGGCGCGCACCTCGCGGGCCTCCTACGCCTGGACTGAGCTCGCGCTGCCCTTTCCAAGTTTCCCCTCGGAACCCCAGGCGGAGTCTGGGGCTCTCCTGCAACTCCCTGCCCAGTTCGCAGTGCTCTTTACGTTCTTCATTGGCAACTGGGAAGACGTACCCTTTTCACTTTTTGTTCCAAGTTTTTTACCTTTTTGTCTTCAGTGTGGGTTTACTGTCCGCGAGTGGCAAAATGCTTTTCAGCCTAGCTCGTGTTGGTTCATCCAGACTGGAGCTTTATAAGGGAGATTTTGGGGGGGGGGGTGATTTTGTGGTCTCCTAAAACTTGACCGGTTGGACGGAATCTTTTGTCCCCTTTGGTCTTAAGCCCCTCTAACCTGTGCCCGCACTATTGCTCCTCTGGAGCATTTATGAAAAGCGAGTATTTGATTTCTTATAAAAGACTTCGGCTTTGGTGGGAACAGAGAATCATGAGCCATTTGTGTTACTTCGAAGATGCTTTTGAGTATCCAATACATTAATTTGCTCACCATAAGCAAATAAAACGTTAGTAGTTACTAGCAACAATGGCAGAGAATTAACTTCCTTTTCGAGGAGCGAAGCCAGGTCTTGACGTATTGAACCGTGATGGCTCCTTACTTCCAAAACGGGGCTGTGGGTCCCTGCCAAACTGGCTAAGATTTCACCTGGCTGCCTACTGCTCCTGGACCCTGGCAGCTGTGTTTGTCAAATTCAGGTTAACAGTTCAGAGCTCTCTGTGGATGGTAAGTTCTTAAAGAATCTGGAGGAAAGTAGAATTTGCTTCCTAGATTTGTGGAATTACACCCTGAGCTTTACAAGGTATTTGTCTACTATGAATATTGCTTATGAGAATAGTGTGGGAACTATATGAACAGTTTTAAAGAAGAGTAAAGGGCCAGAAAGCGCTGATTGGATCAGAATGAAAGGAATGGGCTGGCCAGTGGAAGGGCTGCTGAGCCTACTCTCCCCCCAGGGGAGGTGTATGCCTGGAGGGCTGAGAAGGAGGAGGAGGTTTAGATCTTGGAGGGCATATTTTTGCCACTGGCTGATATATTTTTCAAGACAAAAGAGAAAGCCTTATAAACCTGAAAGGAAGCGGAGGGAGGGAAGATCCTGCCTAGGTAAACTCCCCTTTTGCTTCCCTTTTTTTTTTGTTTGTTTTGTTTTGGTCTTTTTCTTTTTTTAATCAGTATCGGGGATCGAACTCACGACTGCCTGCTTGCAAGACAGGCGCTTATGCCGCTGAGCTAAATCCCCAGCCCCTGCTTCCCATTTTTAAAATGCACAGAAGTCTGGTTCTGGGTTCTGGAGACTGAAGAGGGCTAATGTTCGAAGGACACATGGAGATCAGAGCGTTTAAAAATATATCTTTTCATGGAAGGTAATGGGTGACTTTTGGTTTAAATGAGATTTTAAAAGTGCCGCAGTTAAGAAGCGCACATGAATAGAGAAAGGTGGATGACTTTATGGGAAGGCATTGTTCTCACTAGACTTGAAAGTGTCTGCCCCTGGTCAATTAGTCTGGAGCTTCTGTGGGTGAAACTCTACTGCAGACCTAGGCCCTGGGGGCAGGGCAGCCAAACTGACTGAAATTAGACAGGGGCTTGACCAGAGCTCTGCTGCAGAGTTCAGCTTTTGGATACTGTGCTTCATTTCTTTACAGTCATTTGTGAAAATGATTTGATAATGGTAAAGCCCTGTACTGTATAACACAAGACTTAAAAAAAAAATTAATGATGTGAAACAAGGGAAGTACTACACTGAAAATCCGATTTTCCAGGCTAAACTTTGTTAAATCTGTTACTATTTCTGATGCAAAATTCACCCACATTGACACTTCTTTATATGTTGTGACTATCTGTGTTCTAAATGCATATGGAAATTCAGGTCAGGAACTTCTGCAGTGTCTTAAATAATCTTTCTTCTTGTTTTCTTCTGGTTTTGGAGGCTTCTTATGACCAAAATTTCAGGAAGTAATACAATCCTTAAAAAGCAAGGGGTGGCATGGAGGTCAAGCAAGAAGACATATTTGATTACAAGGTTTGCTGGAAATTGTTGTCTGAGGTTTTGAGGTTTTTCTGTTTGTTTGCCCAGTGATTCTTATTTTTTAAACTTTTGTTAGTTTGACTTTGTTTTGTCTTAGAGGAGATGCACTGTGTAAATCATCCTCGCTGTTGTGGTAGATCAGCACACATTGCTGCAAGGAAGCCACTTCTGCTCCTATCACCCCTCCTATCACCTGTGAAGCCCTTATTTAACTTTGCCTTTGGGGCCAGCTCTTTGAAATCTTAGGCTGCAGATATTCCAACCTCTTAGGCCAGAACTCTGACATCAGGCATTTTTCCCACCCTTTTTAGGAGGAGTGGGAGAGTTGAGTATTGGGAATATATTCCTGTTAAGATTCAGCAGAATGGGAGTTAACTTTTTAAAAGCTAGTCAGTGCTCTATAGTGTGTGTTTAAATCTATGTTTGGGACCTTACTGGTTAGTATTATGGCTGTGTACTTTATTTTGTTTCTCATTTTGAATAAAATGTCTGTAGTTTACTTGTTTTTCTTTTAACTTTTAATTTTGAAATGAACTGCATTTATAGGAAGTTGCAAAAATAGTAGAGTTGCAAAAATAGTACCCTTCACCCATTTTCCCTCACTGGTAACATGTTACATAACCACACTATAGTAACACAATGAGAAGAGTGATGCGATACAATGCTCAGAGCATATTCAGATTTCAGCAGCTTGTGCTTGTTTGGGCAGCATCTATACTAGACTGTACCAGCTTTCAGGCACACGTTTCCATTTGTATGTGTATACTTTAACACAGTTTTTCACATGTGAAGATTCGTGTTACTATTGCTACAATATTCAAGGATATCCCTGGTGCCACCCATTTAGAGCCATGCCCACCTTCTTTTCCTCCAGCCTCTCTGTTCTTAAATGCTAGCAGTGCCTGTCTGTTCATCACATCTATAGTTTTGTCAACTTGGTAGCACATTTAAACAAAACCATTACAGTATGTTAGTTTTGAAATCGGGTTTTCATTCTGCATGGTGTCCATGAGAAGTTTTACTTGCTAAGTAGCTTTCCATGGTATAAATACACTAATGTTATAACCAGTCACCTGCTGAAGGACCTCTTTGTTTCCAGTTTTTAACTATTTTTTTTTCCAGTTTTCAACTATTACACATGAAGTTTCTACGAATATTTTTGTATATAAGTTTTGTATGGGCATAAGTTTTTACTTCACTGGAATGGGAGATTCCAGGAGTAGGATGACTGGATTTTATGTTTGGTCTTTAAAGAAATTTCTAAATTGTTTTTCAGAGAGGTTGTGTCATTTCACATTCCTACCAGCACTGTATCAGAGATCCATCTGGTTGCCATATGCCCGCACAAGCATTTGTTGTCACCGTTATTTATTTTAACTGTCCCAATAGGAGTTTTAATACATGTTTAATCTTTTTTTGGTTTTAATTTGCATTTCCTTAATAGCTAGTGATAGTGAGCTTTTTCATGTACTTATTTGCCATCCTGATATCCTCTTTGGTGAAATACCTGTTCATGTCTTTTATGCATGTCTTTTTTTTTTTTTTTTTTTTTTTTGGGTACTAAGGATCAAACTCGTGACCTCGCATTTTCCAGGCAGGTACTTATGAGTTAAACTCCCAGCCCTTGTGCATGTCTTTGCTAACTGGGTTACTATATATTTTACTGCTGAGCTTTGAGTGTTCTTTGTATAGCCTAGATATGAGTCCTTTTAAAAATATGGCATGTATATGTACTTGCCAGTATGCAGCTTGTTCATTCTCTTTACAGGAACTTTTTGCAGAACAAAATACTTAATTCTGATAAGCATCAGTTTACTGTTTTTTGCTTGGTTTTAACGGATTGTGCTCTTTGTGTCACATTCACTTAGGCCTATGTCCTAAAGATTTTTCTTGTTTCCTAAAAGTTTTAAATTGTAATTCATTTTTAACCGTCTTCAGAATTTCTATGTCTTATTGCTAATCTGCTAGGTGTTGATTAAGTACTTGATGTCCGGTAAGTGTACAGATGGACTATCAGGCATAGTTCCTTCCCTGCAGAGCTCACAGATCAATGGGGTTGCCATGTAGACATTACCATGTGTTAAGTACTTACTAGTGATGTGAGGTGGGGCTTCTCATCAGAGCAGCTTCTTTTGGTCCAAGTAGTCAAAGAGGGCTTCCTTGGCCTATTGCCCTCGAATGGTAAGAACAGATTGTTTTTTGCCTTTGATCTAATTTTTGGATATCTTTATCATCAAGAGACCTTTCAGTGTGAATTACTGTAATTCTTGAGCATATGCAGAAGGACCTGAGCTTAATGTAGTGTTGAAGACTTTTTGAATATACATGGCATGAGAGCTTAAAACACATTTGAAAAATACGGTGCTTAAAAGTCAGTAATATAAAGAGTGTGAATGAAGTTGGATGGATTGAGTTAAAACATATGTTAAATGAAAAAGGAGGTAGAATTTTGAATTAAGACCAGAAGATTTGAGGACCGGGGATATAGCTCAGTGGTACAAACACCTGCCTGGCAAGCACAAGGTCCTGAGTTCAATTCCCAGTACCAAAAAAACAAGACAAAACAAAACATTAGAAAAGAGCAATAGATTTGATTGGCTTCCTGGCTTTGCCACTTCCTTGCTGTGTGACCTCTGAGAATTTTAACTGCTGGAGCCTCATGAGTAAAATAGGGACAATAATAGTTCTTACATCATGGAGTTACGTGAGGGTAAAATAAAACAATGCATTATAATGCTTAGCACAGCACTGTGTATATTTAAAGCCTTCGTTAATGCCTACCATTATTAAACCTACAGGAAGTAGATCATTTTATAAGGTTATATTTATTCTCATATATCTTTTCTCTGAGGAACTAGAATCTTAGTTCTTACTTTTGAAGCTAACTATTTTATAGCCACAGCACTGTATAGTGTACCAAATATTATTTACTGAATGAGATTAGAAACTAGAGTTATGTATTTACCATTTAGTACTGCCTATAACTTTTGCCACCTAAAAAACTAAGATTTTCTGAGTAGAAGATTTTCTTTCTACTTGTGGCTACAGAGTGGTGGCAGGAGGTTGATTTGCCCCTCTGATGCTAGATTAGAGTAAATCTTGCTTGTTATTCTAGATACAGCAAGTTGGAGCTTATGTCACCAGCACATATTCTAAACTGAAACTCCACTTCCTTTTTTCCAGTGACCAAATTGTTCTTCAGAGGAAACTGATGGACCCTTAGATGTATAATACTAGGGCAGTACCAGCACAGGTGAGCATCAGAGTCACCTGGAGAGCTTACTAACACAGGGCGCTGTGCTCAGTCCTGGTAACTGCATTTCTATTGTTTCCAAGTCATAATGCTGTTGGTCCTCAGACCATACTTTGAGAACCACTGTTTAAGGGCACTCTTTAAATTAGACCTAGATTGAGGTCCTTATCCTGTAGAACTGCGGCTGTTCATCTGTAAATGACTGAGTTTGAAACAGATTGTTTCTAAGGTGATTAGTTGCTGTATGTCACTCTGTTCTCTCTTCTAGTTACTCTTCTCCTGTGCGTCACTCAGCTGGTTCTTTCCCACTCTCAGTTATCTCTCACTGCTTGGAAGATAGGCTAAGACTGGTCTGGGCTACCACAGAAAAGCCATATTGTCTGGGGTAAGCCATTTACGCTCTATAAAATAAATGTATCAGCTGAATACTTAGGGTTATTTTGATTCATAAATGAGATGAGCATAAAAGGCCTATATAAGAACTAAAGCACAGTGCAAAATAGTTCCATTACTTTGTGCATCCTTAATGTTTCTTTGGAGCAGTGTCTTTGAACTTGTAGTAGACTGACTCTCCTGATGCTAAGGGCCACATAGTAATGACTGCATAGAAGTCAGCAGAGCTATGATGGAGAAGATTCCTGAAGTGGATGGACTGTTAGAGTGAGGTGTTTGTGGGCCTTCTAAACTGGGATGTTTCGGAGGACGCTGGGGATGTATAATGACTGAAGAAGAGCTCAGTGCTGGAAAATCGTTTGAACAGATACTGGAATGTTAAGAGGCTCCATTTCTTGCAGTAGAAAAACATAATTCTCTGCAGGCATTTAGGACAGATGTGATCTGGACTTTCTAAAGAACTAGACTCGGATGTTTCATACTAACCAGTAGTCACATGTAGTTATTTAAATTAATGAAAAACTAAAACTTCAAGCCCTCAGACACACTAATTACATTTCAAGCAATAACCATTTCCATCATTGCCCACATTTCTATTGGCTGTGAGATTGCCTCTTGTTGTCTGGTAGCAATACTCCTTGGGTTAAATGATGGAACAAGGATACCACTTATTCTTTGGAAGTCTGGTGTGACTGGGTGGAGAGGGAGAAAACACCATAGGGTGAATGCTGTATTAGCCCAAACTTCATTCTGCCACTTCTGTTTCATTTGGTTCATTTCATTGGAAGGCGGGTCAGGTGTCAGCATGGCATCTGGATTCTGCTGGGGCAGAGCATACTAGGCCATTAGCCAGAGATGGTTTCTGTTTCTGGGGATGTTTACCCATGAGATTCGCCCAGAGATCTGATGGTCCTTAAGAGAAGCAAGTAGAAAATACATGGGTGGAGTGAGACTGACAGGTCCTTTTCCAGGAGACCATCAAAGGGCAGCCTGGATGCTTCCACTTTGAGTCTGTTCCGCTATTGAACCAGCCTTGGTCCACAAGGGGTGGGGGCCTGATTTGTGTTCATTTTCCCAGTGTTTGGGCTTGCGCTAACAGCATTCCACTCTGCTTCTTTTACCTGTTGTCTCCTTCAAAAGTGCTCCATAAATTGTAAAAATCTCTATGTCCTCTCTACATCCATCCAGCCTCTCAGTCCTTCTGAAATACTCCTAAATATTTTCTCTTCTTTTGCATGTCTCCGTAATCCAACTGGTGAAGTGCTCATTACCTGACTCCTGAACTACTTCTTAGTGTAGTAACAACCTGCTTACTTGACAGCCTTCTTTTCTCTCATATCTGCTGGTCTATTCTGTCCTTCTTTCCTTTCCTTGCTGCCTCCCACTTTTCCTCCACTCTTCTCAGAACTGGCTGAGCAAGAGGGATGATAGCTATCTTGTCTTCCAGGCTCACTTTGGTTCCCCTAAACGAGTGGGGCTGTGCACGTACCCTGAAGCCAAGTGCTAGGGAGGAAGGAGGTATCTTACATTCAGCTGCTGCTTCTCAGCAGTAAGGGTAGCCCTGGGTGCTGTGACCTAGAAATGTGGTCCCCCAAAAGCAGATTTGAAGAAGGTCTCTTCTTCCTAACATAGGCTGGAGTCTGAAGGGCTCTGAGAACCTGTCTGGCAGGCAGGCATTGGGAAAGGAGAAAGCATGACATTCTCTGGTAAAATCTCATTTCCCTGGGGATTAGTTCTTAAGTATCACTGCATTCAAATTGATCACTCACTTGGTAGTATGGAGAAAAGTTGAAAGATCTAAGGGCAAACAAAGGTAGAAATGTAGTTTTTCAGAATCATGAGAGAAGGCTGTGTATTCTGCATAGCATTTAGCATTCAGTTCATTGCAGAACACATGTAAAATCAACCAGGTCTCTGAAAAGAGAAATGGCTAATGGTCCTTTATCTGGAAGAGTCAAGGAACATGCCTACTGAAAACACAAGCCTAAGTTAAGATATCTGAAATATAATATAAAAAGCAGCATAGAACTATTTCAAAGACCTTGAGGATAATGAGGGTGTCAGATTTGTGTGGCAGAGCTCATAGTCTGATTGGATTTGACTTCCCATGGAACTGACTGTCCTGGTAAGATAAAAAGTTAAGTGGTGGAGATTTTGAACAGTGGTGAATAATTCACCTTATCTGACTTCTAGATTTGCTCTTGTGAGGTGTAGCTCAAAAAATTATTAAGACAGTGTATAAAAAGTCTCCTCTGACATGTGGATTTTCTTAGCTCCAAGTTGAGACATAAAATGTTCATGATTTCTGGAGTTTCTTCAACTTTTTCCAAAATCCAGTAGTTTGGAGAAAAAATTGGAATAAATGTAAATATTTATATTTTGATAGTATTAAATTAAGTGGCTAAGATAATTTTATTAGTTTAGAAATGTAAAATAGGTTATGTGTATGGTTATAAATTTTGTAGTGCTAAATTTAGTTTTTTAAGGCAGCAATCGATAATGCTAATACTTTGAATATTCAATTTCTCTTATAGAGGAAGTTACATGCTAAGTATTAGAAAGCATAACATTTTTTATACAAAATATAAATTAGACAAATTTGGATACAGAAGCACCAACTGCTCAGTAAAATCTGTGCAAGTCAACACTGAGTTAGAGAACTTGTCAAGGATAAGATAGAAGGCTAGAGTTTGTTCCTCTGGTATTTGAGGTCTGTCATATGTCAGGGATTTGACTATGCGAGGATATTAAATCATTACACTTGTGGAATTTATCTAAAAGGAATACAAAATAGTAAGATGTTAGAAAATAAATGCAAATGAACAAGTTTAGTCTGTTCTGAGAAGAGAAGGCCAAGAAATGATTTGTAACTGTTTTTCAAGTATTTTATCTTGCTTTGAACCTAGTGAGAGGCATTGGGCTTAAATTATAGATACCATGACTTTTAAAGACATGAATGAATTCCTTGCTGGGGAAGGTGGCAAAATACAGAAAGAGAGGCTATGGAAGGCATAGAGGAACGAATGAATCAATTGAAGTGTGTGGGTGTCTCACCCTAGAAAACTGAAGTATGATGTAGTGTGGTCTTGGCTAGTGGTTGAGGTGAGCCTAATGAGCTGCTTATGCTGTGCTCTTTGTATATGGTTTTTAGATTTCAGTAATTATTTGTGAAGCTTAATGGATAAGATGCCAGAGCTGGAAACCTGTATTCACACTGTGCCTGTGTTACTTACTGGCTTTCTAATCATGGGTAAGTTACTTAACCTCTCTGTGAAGTAGTTTTCTTATAAATAGGGACCATAATGACATTTACCTCTAAAAACAGCTGTAAGGATTACATAGTAGGATTATATATTAAGAATATCTGAAACCTGGAAACTTTGAAAGAGTTATAATAGCTATCATGGTTGTTATAGTTAATTGTTGCAACATTTTTATTATGCTTAGCAGTTGTGTGGACCTGTACTTCCAATACGGCACAATAGAGGCCTCTCTTCTGTCCCACCATCCTTGGGACCTTAAAGGGAGGGAAGTTGGGGTAGGGATGCCCACATCATTTTTGACTAGAGTCACATGTTCTGGCAGCTGGGTTGGGATGACTTGACAGCTAGGTCTACAGAACAGAGTATCTACAAGTTATCTTTCCATGTGCTCCTAGTTTATACTAGTCTGAATCTTAATGATGACAAAGGGTTTCAGGTGTCACAAGTCCAGCAAACATGATAGAAACTGTTCCTGCCTCAGGTGCTAAGATCACAGTTGTACAACACCATTCCCAGAAAAAATTAGAAATATAATGCAAATAAGTCCTCAGCTATTTGAACTACCTGGATTTTGCATTCTTCTGGAGATGCAAATTTTCTATCTAACTGAAGATAAACATTCTCTGCAGGATTGGTCTCCTCCCCTTTCCCTTCTTGCTTGATGTAACTTTCTCTTGATGGTTCAAATCATCATTAAAGACTTCAATTAGTGTGATTCAGATTTTTTTCCAGAGATGTATTGTAAGTTAGGTTTGAAATCCTTGACCTGGTAGGCTTATTCATTTATCTGTTATACAGGATATTAAAGATATGTTGCAGTGGGTTTCCTGTCAATTATTGTGAACATGCTTTTGTTTTTTATCTCTTTGGACTAGGCCATTAAAGACTTAGTGATTTGGAAGTTAAATTAGGCCTTAAACTGCCACTGAAGCTATGATCCTTAAAGAATAGTCTTTCTGGGGCTGGAGATTTAGCTCAGTGACATAAGCACCTTCCTTACAAGCATAAGGTTGTGAGTTTGATCCCCGGTACTGATAAAAAAAATAAATAAAATAAATTTTAAAAGAAAGAATAGTCTTTCCTTCATTTTTGGTTGTAAAGAGTTGTGTTTTTTTCTTTTCTTTTTCTCGAGTCATCAGTGAAAGGGAAAGATCACTGCATTAACACAGAGAACAGATTTGAGTTTACACTTTGACTTTCATCCTATGATGCCATAGGTGAAATGAGAAAAAAGTTGTGGTATGAAGATACCAGGAGAGGAGAGTGTTTCACTTGCTCAGGGTACAAGGCCTATCTCTGCTCCCCACCAAAACTGCTTCCTTGTCATTCTCTATAAATGCAGCATCGTCCGCAGCTAAGGCAGAACTCAGGTGACATTCTGGTTTCTGATACGTACTTCATGCCCATTTGGCCCTTGACCTGAATGATAAGATGGCTTTATAAGTTGGGAGCTTTGAATAATGCTATGTAGTCCTATTTTGGTCTTTAGTAGTAGGACTTCAATATTAAATTTATTTTCAGGGAAATTGTGTTGGGTCTTCCCTCATCCTAAATTCTTAAGGATTGAAAATGAAGTCTAGTCTATTAATTAGCAGAATACTTTGACCTGAACAAAACTCTAAAAGCTGTCGTCTCAGATATGTGTGAGCATCTTACTGCCTTCTTTTAAAGAAGAAAAGACTGATTTGATCATTTCTTGAAAAATGAATTTTACAGTGGTAATTCCTGT